AGGGACCTCTAGGGATCATCCAGTCCAACCCCCTGCTCCAGCAGGGACACCCAGAGCACGGGGCACAGGGTGGCAGCCAGGCGGGTTTGGGAGATCTCCAGAGGAGACTCCACAACCTCCCTGGGCAGCCTGTTCCAGGGCTCTGGCACCCTCACAGTTGGGAAAACTTTCCTTACATTTCCCACTTATGTGTGTCGCTACTGCGTGTTGACTACCCCGTGGCTCCTTCTGACCATCCAGAACATCACAGACTTTTGGAAAGCAGGTGGAGACAGCCCGGAAACCTGCATCTCTGCAGCCGTGTTTTTGAGAATTATCTTAAGTTGACTCAGTAACATGTTGGCTACTCTGAGGCCTCCAGAGGCCCCTTTCTGGCCACAATCTTTTGCTGCTTTTCTGTGCAGGTTGTACTGATTAAATCCAGTATAAAGATGCTGAGGTATTTCTGCTGCAACTTTAAAATGGCACTGCCCAGGGCCATGAGGAAGGAAATACCACCCTTGTGCTGTAACAGTCTTCTGCAATGGCATTTCTTCACGTTGCTCAGTCTGGTTCTACTTGGTTGTTGTGATGGAGAAACAAATATACTGAGAAAAACTTTGTTTTGTTTTTCAGAGTGATCTACACACAATTTGTAAGTCTGCATCAGCCACAGATGGACTCTCTGCATCTTCGTTTATAGATTATCCGAAGTATAAGCCGTTTATTAATTCTGACTTGCTGCGCTCCCCACGGAAACCTGTCATTCCATATCCAGAAAGCAACAGCAGAGGTAACAAATAGTTCAGCTAAATCCTCACCTATTTCCCAACCATCTGATTCAGGGGCTTGGATATAATTTATGAAGAGGATGTGATCCTTTTACCCTTTCCTGCTTTCTAGGAATGTGTATTTTAGTTCCTTACTGCTCCTCTTATTGAATGCTCCTTACAGGTGGATACTCCCTTTAGCAGTGCAGACTGTAACGTTGGCCAAGTTCTGGGAAACTGGCTGGATGTGTTGCCCCTTCTTCCGTACTCCTCTCGCTCCTTCAAGCCCAACTCTTGTCATTTCACAGCTTGAAATAAGACTTGAGTGTCCAAAATGACTTGGAACCAGAGGGAAGGCTTTGTGTTGATGAAATGGGAGGACTTCTCATGTAGAAAAGTGGAGGGGCAGGATTTATCAGTGAAGTGCTTGGAACGTACAGGAAATAATGGAGCCTATTGCTGGATGTTATCACAGAATCCAGGAGACTTTCCTCTTCCTTATTTCTATCTCTTTTTTTCTTCTCCTTTCCTCTTCTACTTCTGGTCGTGTTCTCCGTATAAATACATTCATCTTGCCTGCAGCCATATGCAAAAATACTCTTGGTTTGTTTTCCCTTGTTCTGGTGAGTTGGCTTGTCATGCAGTGAGACATTTCTCCAAAGTACAGGGAGGGAGCAATGGGAATTGGGAGGCTACAACAGGACTGATTTCTGTCCTGTGAGCTCTTTGGCTCAGGGTCATCGTGAAAATGTTTCCTTATGGCTGGAGTTGCATGGGGGCTTAAGGCTATGGAAAACTTCCTGTTTTCTTCCTTATTGAGAAATGAGACTTAAGCTGAACCCTACTGTAACTCAAATTAAGTAGAAAATCAGCTTGATAGGTTCAAGTGTCCTAATAATGGAATTCATTCCTGAATTTTGAGACACTTGCTTGTTTATCATCTAGTAGATGAAACCTGAAATCTTGAAATGTCATTTAAGATGTAGCATGTGCTCTGGCATGCACCATACGGTCACTTCTGAGAGCTGTTGACACAGAGCTACAAGAACCTCGTGGCACAGATGAGCCTGAGCTGAGCAGGAAGGAGAGCTTGTGAGTGTCTGATGTGGGTGTGTTTTTGTAGATTGGGTTGTATGATTCATTAGAGAAACTTTCGACGTCCAACTTTTTTGAGCAAGGAATTTACTAACTGCAAAAGAAGTACTTATACAGGAATATATGATAAATTATGTGCTTTTTATAGATTTTAAGATGTCTGCCTTTTTTAAAAAAAAGGTAAATATGAATACATGCTAAAATGAGATGCAACAGTTTTTAAGGTATCAAGATATCTTGCTTTTGCTTTTTTTAATAAAGATGAGGATTTGGGAATTAACTTCAGAGAAGATTATAGATTTGGTTGTTATTGGAGGCCTCTCTCTCCTGCTCATATTTAAAAATCCTGAACCCAATCATATTTTAAAATATGATTTTTAAATATGTAACTGAGCATAGCAAGGTCTCTTATTTTGATTTGACTTTCTGTATTGCTTATGGGTGTCTCAGCATACATGTCCTTAACACTCTAATAAAGGTTAAGTGAAGTTTCTGTTATTTCACATTTGTTTCTATGTCCTGAGTAATACTTGACATCCTGTTGGGTTCCATCTTCTGTTCATTGCTCAAATTGCTTCATTTCTGTAATTTGTTATTGTTGTAAATAGAGATTTTAATTTAGCCCTAAGACTTAAGCAACAGAGCTGTTTATAGTTCCAGTTATATCCGTGTCAACTGAATCCTGATAAAAATAGTCTAAATAAAGAGCAGGTTCTGCACTTAGTTCTTTGGGCATGCTGGGAACAAGGGCAGATAATACACAATTTTGCTTTAGCCTGCACTTCTTACTTCTAGTTGCCTTAGTGTAGATGTACCAGTTATCTTAGTTTTTTGTGTGTATTTCCAGTTAACTTAGCATATGTTTTTATTCGTAGGATATTCTAGTGGTCTGCTCTTGTACATTTTGAAGTTTTTTTCCAATTATTATAATTCTATGATCCTGCGATTTTTAGGAGTCTCTACATTTGCACTCTGTAAAACTCCTTGTGATTGAAAGGGACTATTTTCTCTTTATTTGTGATCTGAGGCCTGAGCAGGTATCAAGCCCTGGCTTTCTTGGGTTCTTGTGTTCTGTAATAAAGGCACTTTCCATCTGTAGAGTGGTTTTAAGCACAAAGGTAAAATGATCTCAAAGATAAGTCTCCCATATGAAATTCAGTGCAGATGTTCCTGTGTTTCCCTGTGCTGGGGCTGGGTAGGGAAGGAGCTTATGGTTTTGATTCCCTTTGGAGAATCAAACAATGCAGCTATGAGATGCAATACCCTGAATTACCAGCAGATAATCTGATTCCGAGGTGATGCAAGTCCTATTACAGCTACCTTTTCTGTGGTGACAAATATGGGAAGGTTTTACTGGGTAATTGTTAGAGCAGGAGTTGAAGGGAAGGAGGGAAAGTTGCTTGGCACAAAGGAGCCCTGTGTCTAGGAGGAGGGGAAGGAGCACAGGTGTGAAAACAAAAGAAGAGAATCAAAGAAGAGCGGCTCTTTGGATTAATAAATTACCTGATAATCTTGCCCTTTTTCCTGCTTAATGTGTTGTCTTTGTCATGCTGCTGTGCATTTGTAGAGGGAAAATAGCCCTCTGCTGAGCAAGTGGAGAGCTGCGAGTCACAGTCCTCTGCTGAGACCCTTAGTTCCCCTCCAGAGATGTGAGTGAGCAGATGCACTCTTTGCACTTCTATTTGCCTGTATTATGCCAAGCTATGGATGCATTTCTTCCAAAGGCATCAATACAGTTAATAATTTTTAGGATCAGTTGCCACACAGGGTGAAGTGTGTTTTAATTCCTGGGAGGAGCTCTGGATAGTGATGAGGAAAACTCTGGCTTCCTGGTATAACTTACTTTTATAAAGGCTTTCAGTCTGATGTTGTCTTGAAATGGTCCTTTATCACCATCTAACAAAAAAAAAATACTTGTCCAATTACAGCAATATTTTCTGCTCTGAAGAATCTCCAGGAAAAAATTCGCCGGCTAGAGTTGGAACGGCTTCAGGCGGAGGAGAACGTGAAGCACCTGAGCAGAGAAACCGCAGACTACAAGAAAGTGCTGACTGAACAAATGCAACACAAAGACCATGACAAGACTGAAGCGTCGAAGAAAAATCAAGGTTGTTGGTAAACTTTGTGTAAATACCACAGAACGTTGCTCCAGGTGGAACTCGTGCTTTGTCAGTGCATAAAATTGCATAATTTTATATTACTTTGTTTTAACATTTCTTTCCACTTAGTAACACACAAAGTTTGAAGAAATCATTTTAAAAAAGATACTTTCTCTTAGGGATTTGCATGTAAGCAAAACTTGTTCTATTGTTATGAGCTTCTTTAGATGGCTTTTTTTATGGCTTCTTTTGGAGCTGTACTGAAAACACTGAGAAATCCCAGGAATGAGTGGTGCCTTTTCTGCCTTCTGTTTTCTTCAGAACTGGCTTCCCAGCTGGCAGCTGCTGAGTCTCGTTGCAGCCTTTTAGAGAAGCAGCTGGACTACATGAGAAAAATGATCCAGCATGCAGAGAACGAGAAGACCCATCTCTTGGAGAAACAGGTGTGTTCTCAGGATGGTTTAGAGCTTAAGTTTGTAAAAGTCATGAACTACGTTATGATTTTTGTAGTTACTGAAATCTTAATAACTTCAAGTGTAGTTGTCTGGTATTGAGCTGGCCTTTATATACCTGCACATGGGTAACTTCATACCTGCATGTTGGTGTTTTCCCATTCTGTGCACCTGTGGCTAAGACAGTCTTGTAGGCTCTGCTGTTACAAGAATTAGTGGCTGCTTGTGCTGGGCTCCCTGCAGTGGCTCATCTGTGTCTCAAAGTGCTGTACCCATGTGCCACTGAAAGAAAACTCCCATTTGGGTTTGCACTCCCCACAAATTGGGGGATTTTTTTTTATGAGTATTTTGCTGGACTAGAGCTCATACTATTTTTATGGAAAAAATAGAAATAATAATAAAAAAATATATATGCTCCACCTTTGCACAGCAGACATAAAGCTTATTACAGATGTCCTTTATTGTCCTTACTTGTTTTGCTCTTTTCTTCTTTTTTTCAAGGGTACCTTAGAAAGAGATCGCCTTGATCAATCACATGTCCAGTCCAAATTGGAAAAGCTGGATATGCTGGAAAAAGAGTACACCAGGCTTAACACAATGCAGTCCCTAGCAGAGGTCTGTTGTTTCTACTGTGTGCTGTACCAGATTTATATTGAATATTGTCACTGACACATTATAGTTAGTTATGTTTCAGTAACAGAGTTGAGTAAAACTTTGTACTATAGAGAATGAGAGAATTATAGCATTTTTTTTTAAGTTCCTTAACTGAAGTGGGATAAAAGTTTGGAGTTTGTATAAACAGTCACATCTTAGATATACTTAAGTAAAGCAGAGCTATTTATCGTCCCTTTGAGTATCCACTGTACTGAGCTTATAAATAATGCACGTAGAAGTGTGCAGTTAGAGCTGCTGTTGGGTTGTGTGGTTTTCTTAGTACAATCTGATTAGTGGCTCTATGAGCAGTGTTCTGTCTTTGGGAAAGAGCAGGGTTTTTTGCCCATGGCTCTGGGTCATTTTCACTCTCCTGTGATAAGAAATCAGAAGCTTACTTAGTAACTTCTACTTTAGGAGTTTAAATGAATCCTGCTTAAGCAAGGCCTTCATTTTGTCAAAGGGTCTACAAAGAGAAATGTGCATCTCTCCTGTTCCCCCTTTCCTTTGAAAGGACCTTTTGAAAGACTTCTGGGCTGCCTTAAAACATAAAGATGATGTTTCAGGTTTGCTTGAGTGTCTTAGATACCTTGTATGCACTTTTATCCTTGCTCTTAGTAGAAGAGTGTGAGATGTTCAGAGTTTTTTGCTCTTTCAAGAGTATGAGGTGGGGATAGTAGCAGAAAGGGTTTTAGTAGTCTAAGTAGTGTTCTGTCAGTCAACTATGGTGATAGGTGACATACCTGTATTAGCTCTTCGTTCAAAATCTTTCATGTTAATGTGCACAAAAGTCTCCTTCATTATTTATACAACTGAAGAAAGATATTGTTGGCTTATTGTTCCCCCTTGAGGCTAATTTAAGGCTAATACTGACTTACTTTTGCAATTGGTAACTGAATTTAAAACTAGAAAAATCGATGCAGTTTTAAATATAAATGCTTGACTGGTGTATTTACAGATGCACAGGTAAAACCCTAGAAATTACTTGAATTCTGAAGTTGTTACTTGACCTGAAGTGATGAGCAGAATCAGCTTGAACTCGCAGTAGTGTGGACTTCGTTAGTAATGACATCATTTTCATTTAACTTTGACTAGAAAAAAATGAAAGAGCTGGAACAGAAGCTCCAAGAGGAAGAACACGCAAGGAAGCTCGTTCAGGAAAAAGCAGCTGAGGTAACCACTAGGAAACTTCTCTTTTTACCGGGTGCATTGCAGTCTGCCTGTTGCCATCAACTTTTGAACAAAACTTGCTCATATGGTCTCCCATATACAAAATAAAAACATGAAGCGGGGGAGGTGAGGGTTCATGTTTTTTCTTTCTTCTTTTGGTCTAAAGTTCAAAATACCAAGAGAACCCTTCCCCCTGCCCCCCACTTTTCTCCCCCTCTTGTCTGAATGTTTTGGACACTTTTTTCCCTGATGAGCAAGGTAACAGATGTGTGCACTGGAGCCTAATTTACTCAGTAAAAGAAGCTAATTGGAAAAAGGGAGTAGAAATTCATACTGGTTTATAGCTGAGGTTTTGTGATGATCCAGTTAATGATCTTTCCAACAGAACTAGCTGTTCCAAACAGTTAACTTGAAGCAGTAAGTTACACAGTTAACAGCAAAACTGAACTTTAAAAGCACATCACTGCTGTAGGTGGTTATTTTTGAGGATTTCCAGAGGGTATGTAGCTCCTTCCTGTGTGTGTGTGTGTGTGTTTCAGTGCTTCTTCTGCAGCAGGTTCCTCTTCAGGACAGCAGAAATCTGTATTTTTGACTCCTACAGCGTGAGGAACTTGTCAGCCCCCTCCTGGATTTAAGTCTGTCTGTCTTTATAGGTTTTCTGTCTTTATAGGTTTTCGCTTCTAAGAATCCTGTTGGAATTCCCTTCTCCTTTGTGAAACCAGGTTGTATAGAATGGCTCTAGGGAGGATAGGAGATGTTTGAAAGTTTCTGCTAAATTTATTATTGGTCAAGATCATCTTTGTACTTCCTAATAGCATTTCACTGGTTGCAGCTCTGTAGAACTGCTCCAAGTAGTTCTAAAAAGCGCACGAATCTCAGTCTATGCAGCTTTTTTAGCTTCTGACCTGATAAGCTTAACCTGGCCTTTGACTGAAGATCAGCTTTTCTTTTCAAAAATGCCATATTTTCAGAGGAGAAATTTTTAGGGGATTTTGATTTTAAAAAGCAAAACCAAACAGTAACTGCTTGGACTCGAGTGTGGTTCTGGCTGTGCAGTGGAGGGAACCTTGCAGCTTTATCTGCAGACTTTTGCTGGCAATGCAGTACCAAGAGGCAGTTTCCTGGTTGCAGTAGTAGTAGTTTGTTCTGAAAACAGTGGCCCAATTAATGGGGAACACTATGAAGTTGTTTGTAGATTTTTTTTTCAGAGAGATTCTCTCTTTTAAATAGATAAGGTCAAAAAGTTTGTGCCTGTCTTTGGAATTTTAACTGGAAATGGTGTAGAAGGAGGGGAGGAACAACCATGACCCATGGCTGGCGCTACAGCCTGCAAGGACACTGGACTTGAAAAGTGTCCGGGGGTCACATTCCTCACAGACCTCTCAGTGAGTGCTGAAGTAGCATGTAGATAACTTGTCAAAAATTACTCCTTGCAGTAATTTCCACACTTGAAACTCTCCCCCAAGAAAGTCTTGTGAATGGTTTAGCTGAGGTCCATTAGGAGACGATGATTTCCAAAGCTATTCCACAGCTTTCTGCTGGAAAGAACAGCTAAATGTATATATAGAGAGCTCATTTTTAAGCTTATTAGTGGTAATACTAATATCAACTCTTCTGTTAGATACATGTATATGTTTGCCCCGTCAAGTCCAGTAGACCAGTAGAACAGAAAGAATAGATGAATAGTCGTAAACCTCTTAAATTTTTGTTCTGAAAAAGCCTGAGATGAGGTGTTTTGACCCGCTCCCCCCGTCCCGATATTTAGTCAATGATAAAGCCTAATGTTGATGCTTCAGCAGTTGCCTGTATGGAAGTAATTCCATGAGATTAATCCTTCAGCTTGCTAGGTACAGTGGTGAGAGGTGGTACCAGAGGAAGTATTTAATGTTTAAATTGAACTCAGCATTCCACACGCTGGTGGCCTTGGCTTCCACAGAGCCTGCTTAAAAAAAAAAAAAAAAATCTGTTTTGTAAAATCTCATCACTTTTTATCTCTAATTATCTATTAAAGCCACTTCAGTAATTCTCATCTTTCTCTCAATTACAGCTTCAAACAGGTCTGGAAACCAACAGGATGTTAATTCAAGCAGCCTCACCGTTACTCCCTCCGAAAGCCAGAAGACCTCGGAAGAAAACGAAGCAGCCGGATAAGGTAACACAGAGAGGGAGGAAGGCACTCACCAAGAGGAGAGTAGAAGGAAGGGTCTGTGCATGGATTCAGGAAGAAGGCTGCCTCATAACACAGCAGATGTAACTGGGTTTGCCTTAGTGTCACCTTTGATAAACCTTTCTCTCTTCTTTCCTTCCAGAAAGGCCCTCTCACAAGCCACCTCCCTACGCAGCCCCATTACAGACTGTCTCTGGGCGATGTCCCCTTTGTAGCTGGGAAGGTGAGCTGCTCCGCTCCAAGCTACCGCTCAGGAATGCAGCTCCTCCATGGCTGTGCCCTGGGGCACTCCTGGCCCCTGTGCTCAAGGGGGTTGTTTTCCTTGACTCTTTCTGTCTTCCAAAGCCTTGTGCTACTGCAGTAATGTGCTGAGCTGACCCTTCCAAAGCAGCTTGTCTGCATGCTGCTTGGCAAGCTGTTCTCATTAGTGCATCTTCATTCCAACAAATACATTCTTGGCAGCAAATTAAAAAAAAAAATTAACACTCTTTTCTAAATGTTCTCCACTGTTGCAGTTTTAAAGGGATTAATTTACATGTTTTTATGCTTCCTTCCAGTCAACCAGCCCCAGCCACTCGGTGGGAGCCAACGTGCAGCACGTGCTGCACCTGATGAAGCAGCACAGCAGGGCGCTGTGCAACAGCCGCGTGGTCAGCGACGCTCCCCTGGCAGACGCCCTCGGCGGCGCCCGGCCCGCTGGCACGAGCCACAGGGCCCCGGTGCCCAGGGAGTCCTCCTCCCAGGAGGAGCTCTCGGAAGTGCTGCTCACTTTACAGGACGAATTTGGGCAGATGAGTTTGTGAGTTTGGTATATTCTCGTTGCAGATACTATGTAGGTGTGCTATACATTTGCCTTTTACTTTAAAACTGGAGTTTTCCTGAAAAGGATGATGGTCTGGGGTGATCTGTGGCACATTATCTATAATTTTGTATTGCTACAATGGTTCTCTCTTCTCCTAGCAATTAAAGCTAAGTTCTAATAGATGGTGTGGAATTCATAGCTGGGTTTGCATGCAGCAGTGTCAAGTTTTAGTGGTGTGAGAAAGTGTAGGAGCAGCCTGTGGTGACCGGGTGGAGAAATCTCTTGTTAAATATCGTTTATTAGTCAGGCTGCTCCTCCAGGTTACTAAAACACGAGTTGTTATCTTACTGCACAACCCCCCATCCCAGTCTACAAGTGGTGACTGAGTGAGTGCTGAGACCATGTCCTTAAGAAGTTGTTTTGTATTTCTAAATGAGCGTATTGAAGTTTGAAAGTGCTCACGTTACTGGCAGCTTCATGTTGCTGCAGCGTCACCAGGATGTGCCACTGCAATAGTGCCAACCAGCCACGCTGTTGTTCCTGGATTCCTGATGGAAAGCGGCCTTTCTGGCCACTGCTGCCGCGCTGGTGTCGCTCGTGTGGGCAGGCCCTGCTCTTACCCGTTGTGAGGAAAGGCCCAGTGAGCTGGGCCTGCCTAGCCTGGAGAGGGTTGAGAGGGGATCTGATCAAGACGTGTAAATAGCTGAAGGGTGAATGTAGGGAGGAAGGGGCCAAACTCTACTCAGTGGTGGCCAGTGACAGGACAAGGGGTAATGGGTATAAGCTGCAACACAGGCAGTTCCATCTCCATGTGAGGAAGAACTTTCCTGTGAGGGTGACAGAGCCCTGGAACAGGCTGCCCAGGGAGGTTGTGGAGTCTCCTTCTCTGGAGGTCTTCCCAACCTGCCTGGCTGCCACCCTGTGCTCTGGGTGTCCCTGCTGGAGCAGGGGGGTTGGACTGGGTGATCTCTAGAGGTCCCTGCCAACCTCAGCCCTTCTCTGTCTCTGATTCCACCCTAGTGATCACCAGCAGCTGGCAAAGCTTGTGCAGGAGGCCCCGACGGTCGGCGTGAGGGAGGAGCTTGAGCGGGAGCTGGAGGTGCTGGTGGGAAGGATGGAGGCCAAGGCCGAGCAGATCAGCAAGGTTCGGAGGCACCGGGCGCGGGTGAGTCGCTCACGTCGCGTTGTCTTGGGGATTCTTACCCTCTTCTGGCAGCAGCTGGATAAAGCAGAAATAGCTACTACTTAGGGCAGTATTTCCCAAGTTGAATTTGGAACCTCCAAGTGTGTCACCCTCCCTCTTCCCATCCCAGTATTTCTGCAGAAAACTCTTCCTGGATTCCTAGGGTCCCTCGTGCCCCTCCTCGTGTCCTAGGCCGCTGCCGCTCGGACAGTCGCGCTCTCCTGCTGTGTGTGAAGCGGCTCTGCAGAACCTCATCTGGAGGTCCTGCCAACAACAGCTGTGCTGGATGTGGGGCAGAAGCTCAGGAGATCATGAAATTGGAGAAAATGCTGAGCTTTTAGCAAGTGAAGTCGTATTTAGAGACACCTGAATTCCCAGGGGCTTCCCACTGTTCAGCTGAGTCTTTCAGCAGCTCCACTTGGTTTGGCATAAGTGACCTACTTAATTGTGCTCCGATTTGTTTAACATAAAGTCTGTTTCAGTTTAAAACGACTTCATAAATTCCTTGAGCAGTGTAGCTGTTCTTTAAAGCTGTGGAACTTCTTGATTCCCTGTTTTGTCTGATGTTCATTCATTTTAATGAAATTCTTCCAGAGTTCAGTCCTCTATGTTTTATCCAGTTCAGTTTATATGAGCCAAGAAGATTCACCCTCATCTTGTGTAACTTCATACGCAGAATAGGTACTGAAAAAACTGCTCATCGCGTTTTACCTGCATCCACGTAGATGTCCTTTAAAAACATTAGTTGCCTTGAAGGTCACGGAAGAGATGAGTGATGTGCCTGTGGCAAAACAGATGTGTAGAAATGATGGCAGTGGCTCTACGTGGCAATATACTGTGGAATTCCCACTAGGATTCTCTATGGGAATACACTATAATTCTGACTAGATAATGACAAAAGGTTTTAGGCCACGGCTGCTGGGAAAATCTCTCCCTGAAGCGGAGGAGAGGCCAGTGCTGGAGCAGGAGCTGCAGTGAAGGTGCCGGTGAGGGCAGCGTGGCCAGGCCGGCGCCCTTGTCCTGGGGGCGCTGCGAACCCCCCTCCTCGTGTCTGCAGGGTCCTGGGGTGGCCCTGCAGGGTCCTGGGGTGGCCCTGCAGGCTCCCTCCCAGCACCAGCAGGCCCTGCGGTCACTGGAATGGGCATTAAAGAACTTGTGTGTGGATGTTACTGGACAGTGGCAGTGACGGCTGAGTATCCTTGTGTCAAATGGAGTATTTCCCTCCATGTTTATGATGGAGACACTTTCCTAAACACATAAACCAGCTTCTCAGCTCTGAAAGAGAGAACCTCGTGGTTCATGTTGGTGCTCAGTGTGACTGTAAAGATGCCAATATAGACATGCTGTATAAAGGAAATATTTTAGTTATTTGGGACTAGATGACTTAGAAACATCCTTTTGCTGGGTGAGTTGAGCATTGGAGCAGGGAAGGAGACTGTGAGGAGGATGTTTCAGCCTTTGAGGGGCAATGCAGAGTGTGTCCAAAACAAGTCCCCCCTGAACCCTTTTGCTTTGGACTTCTCTTGCAGCTAGAGCGACTTCGGAGAGAGTGCAAGGCCAAGAAGACTTCAGCCAAACAAGTGAAGGAGGGCAGGTTTCCTGTGAGCGAGGTCCGAGTGACGACTACGGTGACCACGAAAGGCAAGGACGCGGGTCCCATCAAAGTGCGACCCGGGGAGAAGAGCCGGAGGAACCTGCAGCTGCTGAGGGACATGCAGACCCTCCAGACGTCGCTGCAGAAGGACGACGTCAGCTGGGACTACTGAGCCCTGCCCGAGGTGTCCTGAGATGAGCCCCCAGAGAGAAGCTGCCTACGGCGGGCTGTAAAGCAGTGGCCTCTTGGGGAGGAGCCTGCAGGGCCTCCCTCAGTGCACTTCCAAAATATGGGCCCGTTCCCCACCTCTGGCTGTGAGTGTATGTATATATTCCGCACACTTAAAGCACATTCTGTTTGCAGAGCCTCCTGCTGCTGACTCCCAACACGGGTTTCCAGCAGTTCCCTGCTCCCTTCCAGCGCGTGGCACCAATCTGGGTTGGCCCCCCTGAGTGCCGGGGGTTTCGCAGCTGGCTCTGGGGCTCGTCCAAAGCTGCGTCTGTCTGAAAATGATGCTGCCCCCCTGGGTCTTGAGGGGACCCCCTGGGTCTTGAGGGGTCTGTCAGTTCTGTAGCTCAGGCTTCCAGAGTGTGCAAGAGCAAGGAGGGAAACCCTCCGCAGAGGAGTCTGGCTTGGCCCTCTGCAGAAAGCTTCCCCAGCCCCTGTTCTGCCACATCCCACTCGTCAGTATTAACAGCAATGGGTGTTAATTGGGAGCAAATAACTTCTGAATGAATTTGCTTGAATGATCTATTTTTTTATTGTTTTATTTTTTTATGTCTGAAGGCTGAAATGTTTCTTTAGAAATCATACTTTGTGAGGAAGCTATAGGATACTGGGGATAAAATTCCCCGTCTTAGTCCCTGTCTTTGAGTAGCAAAGGCGTGAGATTGGCCGTAAGTGTTTTAAATTGCAAGTGCCTCAATCACGCCATGGCCGCCTGGCACCTTGCTTTTAACTTGAACTGTGTGCGCCGAGTGACCCGCTTGGGAGGAGTGCGAGCCCTTCTGCACTCCGACTCGCACAGCTGAGGAAATGTTATTTATTATGTTAATAATGTAAAGAATTTCCTATTCATGGAATGTATAGAAGACAGAGTATCTGTTTATAAAGTTGAAAGACAATAAAGCCAGCTTGCCTGTTAAGTTAATTGTGGGAAAGCTGCCTCTTCTCCAAACTGGCCAATGCTCCTTGGGAATTGGGGAGTGCCTTTGGTTAGGAGTGCATTTTGTGGGGACTGAGGGGGTCCTGGGGGCTGCCTCCTTCCTTGCAGAAGCACCAGCCCTGTCCTGTGTGGGGGCTGCTCTTCCTGGCCTCACCCTCCATGTGTTTAACTGCTGAGGCAGCAGGGAGACCCCACAGCTCCTCTGAGACGGAAGGGTGGAAACAGCTCCTAGGAGGAAACAGATCCTGGCCTGGCAGGGCCTGGAGGCAGCTGAGGTGGCCCCGCTTGGCCCTCAGCAGGGCTGCCCCATACTGAGGTGACCCTGGTTGGTCTTTAGGTGGGCTGCCCCGTCCTGGTGGTGAGGGGATGGTGCCCTGGAGGATGGGGTTTGGTGCTGGCCTCACTGGGTGAGTGAGGGGGCTTTGGGGTGCCCCCTTGCCTGGAGCTGGGCAGGCGGGGAGCACCCTGGGTCAGCACAGGAGTCTGATCCGGGTGGCCAGGAGGGATGTGAATTCCAGCCCGGGGGCTCTCCCTGCTTCCTCCCAGCCACGGAGCAGGATGTTTTAGGTGGAGGCAGAGAAGTCCAAAGCTGTGGACAAGCAAGCCGAGGGCTATTCCTTCTCCATTTCATTTTAATCAGGAACATGGGCTCCTTGTAGCTGGAGAGGCTGGTTGAGAGACAACTCATTGTGCCTCTTGTTCCTTCCCCATCTTCTCCTTTCTCTTCCCTTGCAAGCTGTCTGTGGGGGTCAGTGCTTGGATAGCAGGGGCTGAAACAGGGTTCAAAGTCGTTTTGTTTTTAGGAAGTTGTTTTTAGGGAGGATCCCTGGCCACAGCGGGCTCTGAGCAGGTTGGCCCAGGGCAGGGCAGGTCGGGGCGGCCCCGCTGCTCCAGGCCGCCCAGCCCACGGGAGGCCCATGGGGAGGGCAGCTCTGCACACGCAGCGACCTGGCGACTGGGGTCAAAACACAAGGCACCAAAATGCTGCCTGTTTTTTTTTTTTCACATTGTATTTATAATATTTATGTACTGCAAAAAGCAAAAAAATGCTGGTTTTCAGTGTGAGTGTATTTGATAATTTTGAGCAGCTAAATAATTTACCTGGCCTGGTGCTGCTCTCTGCAGGGGAGGAGAAGCTTGTCCGAAGAGGAGCTGTGCTCTAGCCAGTCTACAAGGGCAGCTTGAACAGAAGCATCTGGCAAAGCCAGCGGCAGCAGTGAGGAGGAGGCAGCAGGGCTTTAATTCTACGCTTTGCTTTGACATACTGCACTTTGAGTGGTATCTTATTACAGTTTGTCTGTGATTTCTTCAGTTTTAATAACCACAGAGCTCATACCAAGAGCGCAGCAAAACCTTTATCCATTCATCAGCCTTTATTAGTGTCAAGGAGAGCAGCCGGCTTCGCTCAGGGAACACAACACGGACACGCGCTTGCTGCGGCCGGGGCAGTGGGGCTGGGAACCAGTTATGGGGCTGCCCCTCATCTGAAGCCCCCGAGTCACCAGGAGCTCCGCAGGGGGACCAGCGGCAGGGCTGTCCCTCAGCCGAAGCCCCCGAGTCGCCGGGAGCTCCGCAGGGGGACCAGCGGCAGGGCTGCCCCTCATCTGAAGCCCCCGAGTCACCAGGAGCTCTGTGGTGGGACCAGCGGCAGGGCTGCCCCTCGCCCTCGCTGGGAGCTCTGGTGGGACTGTGGCATGAGGGGCCGCGACGGAGGCTGCGGCAGGAAGGTGCTGCCGGCGCCTCTCAGCAACCCCAGCTGCCCAAAGGCAATCTCTGATGTGCAAAGTGGCCCTCTTGGCTCATCTCTCTGCCCCTGCAGAAAGGCTGGGTGGAGTGTAGGGGTGCACTGAACAAGTGCTTGCAGGATGAGCTCCCACTGTAAACGGCCACCCTAGGAACGGAGGCTGCGCAGCCACCATCGTGGTCTGGAAATGAGGCAGCCTGGAATACATAACCTTGCAAACACACCCACTTGTAAGAGCCCTGTCAGCTACAGGCTGGCGGGCTTGCGAAGGCCAGCTGCAAGTCATGGAGCTACCCCAGGAAGGGGGTTGGTTTTTCTATCGCTGCTTCTACAATAAAAGTTGGTCCAAATTCAGCACAAAGTTCAGTGAGGAGGGCAGTCCTGATACTGGAAGTACCCTGCAAGCTGAGGGAACAGACTGTAAGCTCGGGCTCAGAAATGGCTGAGCTCTTCAGTATGCCGGAATAAGGGTACGTTGGAGTTGTAAAGCAGGCAGAAAGGCTTCTTTGGTTGATACAGTTCCATTAGTTCACAAGAAAAATTAAATACCTTAAGCATGCCGCGATGGTCCTGCACAGAAGCATTCAATCACTACTACTGTTTACCAAACACAATGCCTGATCCCAGCTTTTTACAGCTGCCTCTTGCTGTTCCACCACCTTCCCTGCTCCTGGCTGTGAGGCACAGGAACCCAGAGGAGCTGCAGGAGGCCGAGGAGAGGCCACCCTCTGCTCCCGCCATGAGGAAGAAAGGTGCTTAAGTGACTGTCCAGCATCATGTCCATAAACCATAAATAAGAACCTAGAGAGGGAAGTAAAGTTTGTCCTATAATGTTAAATGACGTGGGCTGCTCTTCTACCACTATGTTCTGCTGGTAGAAGATGCCCCTTCTTTAAATAAGGCATCGTTTATGTGTCTTCCTATGATGTGTGTCAAGTGAAGGGAAATACAACAGGGACAGGGATATGTTTCCCATTCTGTGACTAGTTCTCTTTCAAGATGTTGGCAAAACACTTCCATGCACACTGCTGTGGGCCCATTAAAGAGAGGGTCCTGTGGAGCAGCCCAGTCCTGCTCTAGCACCCAGCATGACGGCAACTTCCTCCCGCCTCGGCCTGTGGTCTCCTTCTGGCAAAGGGGCGAGTTTCCCACCTCCTGGGATGTCTTCCCCAGGCTTCACTCTAGTGCACGGGCCCTCTTTAAAGCAAAGTGACTTCCCCCACAGAAGTGAACAGAGAGCTCGAGGCTCCCTGGGGTCGCGGGTGCGATCAGCTCCCGTTGTGACCTCGCCACCAAGCTGAGTAACTGCATAGGGGGCCTTTATTTCTTTTTCTTGCTTAAGCTTCCTCTAGTGCTACAGTACTAATAAATTACCCTGGAGAGAAATAAATAAATAAGGCGGCATCTCCCAGCCGCCGCGATGGGAATGGAGGGCGTTTCAGAAGAGCTGCCCCGTGGGCCCGGAGGGGAGCCAGCGAACAGGTCCGCGCGGTCACACAACGGTCTGCACGGGCGCCACGCACTGCGCGGGGGAGGCCGCTCGCTCCGAGGACGAGCTGGAGCGGCTCGTGATCTCCCTCTGCAGCTCCTCCACCTTCTTCTGCAGCTCGGCCCGCTTGGCCAGCAGCTCCTTGTAGCGATTGTGGACAGGCTCCTGCAAGGAAAGCGCCGCTGAGCCCGGCCGGCCAGCGCGGACACGGGCTCAGCGCCGCCCACTCACACACCGGGGCAGGAAGGAGTTGATCTTTCCTTACCCACCACACGCAGCCTCAGGGGAGAGTCCACTCTGTGGTTGCTTTTTTTAAAATCAGATTAAGAATAACCTAAATTACCAACTGAAAATAAAATAAAAGTTGGTATAAATACAGATTTTGAAGGCTCACAGCTACAGACTCTGATATGCCTGGGGGATGCTCTAGCATCTCAGCCCGGCCATAATTTCAGAGCTGCGGAAAAAATAATAGACATGTTTCTAAATATTTTCAGATGGTCTCCACTGTTAAACAAGACTTGTATCCAACAGCATTTGTCAGGTTGCTGTTTTCAGTGCCCCAGATTTGCCACCTGAAGCTGGACTTGGGCAATCAGGATTTTTGAAGTGATTAATAATGATTAAAAGGGGATCTCAGCACCTAGGCACACACTCAGGCTGTTCTAGGGGCCCTGGGTACCCCGGCACGCGGCTGTTGCAGCTCAAGACCATAACATGGGCTGCATGTAGAGCAAGAAGGGGGGCTCTCTGCAGCAGCCCAGCATGGCCAAGCGTCAGATCTAGAGTCCATATCCAGCTACTGAAACCCCAGCTGGGCTCTTCTGTAAAGAAGAGAGGCCTCAGCTGATGTCTGACCCTAATTCAAGGTGAGAATTTCTCCGAACTGTTGGAGTATCTTCAGTTCCCTCAGCTCACACAGATCACAGGATTGTTGAGGTTGGAAGGGACCTCTAGAGATCATCCAGTCCAACCCCCTGCTCCAGCAGGGACACCCAGAGCACGGGGCACAGGGTGGCAGCCAGGCGGGTTTGGAAGATCTCCAGAGAGGGAGACTCCACAACCTCCCTGGGCAGCCTGTGCCAGGGCTCTGTCCAGGGGGATCCTGACCGCCTGTTAATGCACAAGGCAGCGACTTCCAGCCAAACATCCACTCCGACAAAGTGCAAACACTGCTCCTTTCCTTTGCTTACATTTAAATTTAGGCTTTTGACTTTGAATTGAAGCTACTGCCATGGCAGTTCTGCACATTGCTGCCTGCATGTTACAGCCCTTGCACTCTGAAATGACAGTGCTGCTGCTTCCAGGTGGGACATGAAGGCAGGACCCTTTGAGGGGCCGGGAGCTGCTGTTACCTGCGGCTTCATCCTGGGGTTCCAGCGGATGTAGTAGCCGACCCAGAGCTCGAGGTGGCGCATGCTGGCCACGGGGTACAGGACGTGGTTGGAGTAGCTCACGTACAGCGGGTTGGTGAAGTCCTCCAGCTGGCTGTTGATGTAGGACCAGAGCGACACGGTCTTTTTCGGAAGGCTCTGTAAGGGAAAAGGGGGCAGGCAGGTTCATTTCACATAATGTTCATCTCGCAAGCTTTGCGAGTGTCTGCAAGAGCGGATACAGATGTCTGTCATTATTACAAGCCTGGGTGCCTTTTCACAGCTCAGAACCCCCTCTTCTTGGCCTGGTTCCTGCAGTGGGAGCACATGGAGGGGGCAGGAACAGGCGCCCTGACAGGGGAACATCCCCTGCTGCGTGAAGCAGCGGCCAAGCCCCATGTGCCAGGGGAGCTGCCCCTCGTCCAAGCGCTCCTGGTGCATTCACACGCAAGGAGAAAGAAAACGTGACTCGGGGGTTTGAACAGTCCGCTGGAGCGGGTGTGGAAGGGCTTTCCAGATGAAGCACTTTGCTAGGCTAAGGTTCTCAAAGGAATCATGAAAAAGTGCATTTTCTTCTCTGGAAATTACAATTCTGCAACCTGTGGACAGCAGGAAAGCAGGAGCTCTGGCGTCCCTGCGGCACAGCGCTGTCACTTCCACCACACTGCGTTTTCCTTACACGTGTGCTGCCCAACAGAGCCCGTCCTGCCCCAGCTCTACGATACTGCCCTGCTATCAAAGTGCTCATCAAAGTGCTTCGTGTTTCGGCCGGCGGGACAGGCTCCACGTCACTCCCCCGCTCCCAGGCCCAGGCTGGGGCCGGTGCTGCTCGGCGCTCACTGCTATTCCCCGTCCTTTGGAGCTGGGGAAGCAGCCCAGGCCGGACCAGGGGAGCAGCTGGACACGCGTCCCTCCCAACGCCCCAATTCTGCCCTCTCCCACACCACAAAAACATGGGTGGAGAGCAGTCACTTGCTGTGGTCTGTATGTACAATACGGCAATGAACACTCCTTCATTAGGGAAAAGCATCTGAAGGGAAACTGAGGGCAAGAAGTTACCAGATCCTGCACAGAAGTTTGCATTAAGCCCAAGTTCAAAGAAAAAAATGTATTTCCAACTACCTGGAAGACACCAGGGGCCGTTCAGACACCTGTGAGTAGCTGAAAGCTACTGAAAAGTGTCTGTCTGCTCAGAGGGGAACAGCCTGGTGCAGAAACTGGAAGTGCCCAAGAGGCAGCAGTTCGTGCAAAGAGGAGAATAATGTGAAGCCCAGTGGTTAAGAGGAGGGTCTCGTAGCACTCAGACCTGATCCTATCCCTGAAACAACTTCATCAGCAGCCTCTAATGACCACATAAGGAATCCTCCTCCTGGCCTTACCTCCTTCACTCGCTGCTGCTCGCTGCTGCACAGGAACGTCCCAAACAGGCAGCTGTACAGGTGGTCCAGGATGGTTATCAGGAAGTACTCGTTGAACTCAAATGCTGTGGGAAACTTCAGACAGAAGACAGGTTGGCTTTGGGTTTTAGAACAGGAATTGGTTGTTGCAAATACATTTTTTTATTTATTTTTCCACCTGTGGCTTAGTAAAGAGCTGGCAAAGGAGGGATCCTTTGCTTTTAAGGCAGGATTTGTCGCTCTTCTCTGCCTGGCTGGATATTCACGATCATGTTGGCCCCTTCCAGGAGCAAGAGTTTCTCCCTTGGAAAGCTGCTTTGTATGTGCAGAGAGGAATTCTGAGCAAGAGCCAGAGGTCTAAAGGGTCTGACCACCGTGTTTACACTCAGAGCTGCTTCAAACTGAAGCTTGCTGGACTATGCCTATCCGCAAAGAGAGGCCTTGACATGGGAGTGTGAACAAGCAGCTGCAGCAGACATGGAATAACGCAGCAGAAGGCATGGAAACCCCCCGGCCCCGAAGGGAACAGCCTGCCTGCCGAGCAGCATCCTTCCCAGGGAGGGGAGCCCGCGTCAGGCAGGGCATGGGGCAGCACCGCCGGGGAGCTTGGCATCCCTCCCAGGCCTTGTCCGGAGCTGGAAGGGCTGGAGCTGACAGGATCCCACCTGGAGTTACAGTCAGAGCAGAACTATGGAACTCTTGTATCACACAGATCACGAATCAGAGCTGCCGGACTTGCTGCCCCTGTTTCAGTGCCCTACAAGCCTGTTCTTTTTCAGAAACACAGCATGGCTGAAATTGCTTGAAATAAAGCACAAAGATCACAGCAGACACAAAAACCAGACCCAGGATCCCCATGCCATCCCAGCCAAAGGGGATCCCTCCAGAACCTGCCTCTGCTTTGTCTGCTCTGAAGGGAATTGCTCAACTTCTGGCTCAGTAACTCACGTATCAATCAGGAGCCTTGAGGAAAAAAAGGGTTTAAATGGAGCAAATCCAAGTGTTCCCTGCAGTTCTGGTTACAGGATCAGGTTGGTCAAAGAAAACAGGGATCAGTCTGCACCCACCAATATCAGGGACTCCCATGGGCCCTTCAAGACACTTATGCTCCTCAGGGCACAGCAGGGGGGCTGGTGGTGGCCTCACCAGCTAGCAAGGTGGCTGCAGGGTCTGCTCCTTCCTGGGCTCCATGCAAGGGGGCTGCCCTCCCGTCCAGAGAGAGGGCAGCTCCTCTTCCTCTCCACGCTCACACCTCGCACAGCAGCATGGCTGTGCACAGTGCCCCACACCCTGCTAACCCAGTGCAAGTCTGCTTCCCTCTTAACTCTGTGCACTCAAATTCAGGCTCTTCATTAACAGAAGCTCTCAAGAAACTTTTAGCCAGAGTTTAAAAAAAAAAAAAAAAAAAAAAAAAAAACAGAGTAGAAATCCAGAAAAGAGAGCCTGTGTTCTGATTCAGCAGCCACCTTGGCAATGACTCCAGTGTTCAGACACTGCACAGTGTCCTGGAACAACTTGTGCCACCCAGGAATTTACCTGTCTTGTCATCTGCCAGACACAGTCGATGAACTGCAGGAAGACAGGCGAGCGATCGGCGTCTGCGTGGTTCTTATCCCCATGGCCAACCCTCTGCAAGAGAACAGGACAGAGAACAGGGGTCACACGGAGCTTCAGGAACCTGCTGGGGTCTCCTCGTACCTCAGCCACCCGTGTCAACCAACTTTAGAAGCTTGAAATGAATCTTCACTTTGGCCTGTCCGTACTTGTGAGTAAAGGATCAATCAGTCTTTGAAGTGAAATCTCTTGATAGGGACATTTTCATGTTAAATTAAAACAAGAGCTGTTGGAGTAGAGGCTCCAGATGCTATGCTGGCACTGACTTCAGTGAATAGCTGAAGTTCAGAGGGAGAAATAATAGAAAAAAACCCTTTGCTTTAGCTGCAGCTGCAGTCCTGGCTACCTCAGCAGCAGAGCGAGCTGCATCTCAGCCACCACAGGGCAGCCCCTGCCCCACGTGGCACCACACAAGGGGACCCCTCTCCCAACACAGGTGGGTAGGGAAGGGCTGCCCCGGCCCTGGCACGCACCCGGCACAGCACCGGGGTCTTTATAGGACAAGGGGAAATGGGGGTAAGTTGCAACACAGGCAGTTCCATCTCCAGGTGAGGAAAAACTTATTTCCTGTGAGGGTGCCAGAGCCCTGGAACAGGCTGCCCAGGGAGGTTGTGGAGTCTCCTTCTCTGGAGATCTTCCAAACCGGCCTGGCTGCAAATCCTGTTTCCTGTTTGCAAATCCTAACACACTGCTAAGCTACATGGTCACAAAACTGCCCCTCCGCAGACTTCAGGCATGAGATACACTTGACCCAATCTCAAACTGCTGGTCTTTTGGATAAAGAATCAAAAGCCTCCCCCAAGAACTAAATGTATCTGAAGAAAAGGTGAGATGATGGCCATCAGCAACTTTCCCAGCCTCTTCTACACGAGGACATTTGTTAGGTGACAATGTCCAAATAGTCCAAACAGAAAATGGTCAGAACTGGAAAGAAAGACAAAAATGTCACAGCGGTTCCTGCCAAGTCCCAGCAGAAACATCTATCCTGAGCCCACAGTTAGTTAAGCCTGAGCATGGGCATACGACATCTAAGTCAGGCACCTGCAAGATTCAATACCATTTGTTTCTCATACACAACTGAGGATGTTGCCAAGAAGGGTAAGAACATGACTGGAAATACAGGCAGACAGAAAATAACAGCGGCAGCAATCACCTTTCCTCTGCGAGTTCAGCTGGGAGACTTCTCACAGGCTAAACTCCTTTGAAGTCCTTCAAGGTGGACAATAACTCTCTCTGTCCAGTGCCTTGCAAGGCACTAGTGACTCACCAGCTGAAATCTGTGGCCAAAGCTCAGCCACTCCTTCTCCACCAGGACTTCGAAGCCCCGGATAGTTCGGTAGTAGCCATCTAACATGAGCAGAGAGAGAGAGGTGAGCTGGGCAGTGCGGTCCCAGCCGTCGCTGCAGTGCACGACCACGGACGTCTTCCCGGACTCCACTTTGTCGGCAATGCGAAGAGCTCCCGCCAGAATGAGCTGGGAACAGGGGGAAAAGGTTACGGAGTTGCTGCGGAGCGGACACGGAAACAGCCTGGAAAATGGCTAGTGACTAGCGAGGACAAACCAAGAGCCCTGTCTGCATCACAGAGACTGGTAAATAATTTCTAACTCTTTCACAATGAGGATGGAAAATTGGTGAGCACGGTTCTGTTCCAGCAAGATGACAACACATTTGAACTGCAGTGTAAGCTCAAATGTAAAGAGCTCTTGCATTAAGCTCAGTTCTTGGACAGGGTATAAATCCAGTAATATTCTACATCTGAACAGGAACACAAAATAGTCATTTCCTTGCAATCCCAGCACGAAACTAGCTTCTTTCTGCATTAATAGACAGATAATGTGTCAGCTAGATTTTTTAGAACAGAAACAACTAAACTTGAAAACTGCCAGTGGTCAAAACTGAGGTATTTTGACCAAATTTCCCCTGCACTGCTTGGAGTAGCCCGAAAACCGGAAAGGCTGGTGGGACATGTGCTCCCAGTATCTCCTACTCTGGACCAGGATCAGAGAGTCAGGAGCTTGGAAACTCTGGAACTCCTGAGCAATATGCAGGGCTTTAACAGCTGCACAATACCCAGGCACACACTTCATTCCCCAAACACTGCCTTTCAAGATTTCAGTTCCTTTCCCTCCTCAGAATCTCCCATTCTAATAAACTGTATTTTTAGCTGTTTCTAAATTGAAAACAAATTTTAAAATTTGAAATTTCTCATGAACCCCAAACCCTGCATTGCAGTTAACTTTGGATACAAAGTTCCCTATGAACAGACAGACTCAGACTTGTGATTACTCTGCCACGTCCAGTGGATGCAGACGTGCTTACCTTGATATGCTCCAGCCAGTGAGTTGACTCTAAATTAGACAGCCAGTGAGTCTCCTCAATATTGGGATACACAATCTCCTTCAGTTTTCTCAGTGATTCTCTCATAACGTGAATATTGTGAATGTCCAGGAACACTAACTCTGCATTCTGATAGGCGTCCTCGCTCTCGTAGCCCCCTCCTTTAGCCTGAAATAAAACACGAAAAAAACCCTCCAAGTCATCAAGCAAAATCACATTTGATATTTTATCCCAAAACCTTGTCCTGAGCAGGCATCAGCAGACACAGGATATTCCAATGCTTGTGCTATCTAAAGAAGGCATAAAACACTGGATTTATATTACAAATTGAGAACATGCATATACAAACACAGTTTATGTCTTTGTTGTATTACTAATGAATACTATAATCTTTACAAAAGAATATCACATTACAAGGATTCTTTTTTTCTGTAATAATCATTTATTTATCCCATTCACGCTGCTAGTTCATTAGATTTGCTACTCCGTCATTTATGTAAACACAATACTATTATATAGGAGTGTAGATTATCCCACATATTAACTGCCTTTCCTAGGCAGTGGGAAACACACGAAAATAAATCCAGCTTTAGGGCAGCAAGGCAGTTTTAACAAGAACAGAGAGCTTAGAGTGATGGCATGAGGCACAGCAAGCAGGAAAAACCCAGTGACATTCCTAGTCATTAAAGATCCCTAGAGCACATTATGAAATTAAAGAGCATAATGCCTGGTTTTCAGAAGGGCTGGGTATCCCCCTGCTCTCAGCAGGGTTAATAAAGTTTCTGATGCTGTTAGAGGAAGGAGTTTTGCAACCATGTGAAGTGAAAAATAGTGGTATACAAGATCCACAGCACTGTGTTGCACTATGGACCTCAGTATCCAATGCCTTTCTCAGCTGCTTTTATTTCTTCCCCCTCCCAAACTCATTAGGATAATCCAAATTAACCATCACTAGTCACATTCATTTTTACTGATATCAGTGCAGTGTAAGCATCTGTCTGGAAAATCACATCACTGCAAATATATCCATTCTTAGTTGAAAATGCTTTCTGATCCTCAGGACTAATTTGAAGAGGTGGTCAGAAACGTGCTCTAAATGTCAACATTTCCAGCTCTGGACAGAGGAGAAACACCCGACCTTATTGGCTACAGCATTCACACTGGGCCTTGCATCAAATATGAAGATTTTATGGGACTGAGCGTTGGAATCCATGATGGCCTGAAGGTATTTTTCATCTTCCTTGCTTCTCTTGCCACTCACTCCCACCATTGGCTGGCTACAGCGAGTGATGGTTGCTTGACTTTCTGGGTGAATCCATGACAACACCTTTGGACACAAACGAGAAAAGAATGAATGAAAAAGGGCATTTGTTAAACCAGTGAAGTGTTTTACCTGTAGGGGCTTGCTGTGGGATCCTGCCATATATTATATGGTTCCAAAATGCTGCACGATATTAAATCATTATTGAATTGAAGAGAAAGAACTCCACAACTCTTCTGCACTTACACATTTGCTCTGCTTACATTGTCAAACTTGGAACAAGCAGGAGATGAGTAAAAATACTTAAGTGTGACTTTCAAATAGGAGGCAGACTGAGGCTTCTTGTTGTGAGACAGGGACACGCTTTACCCAACTGCAGTCACTGGGCTTTCTCTTACCCTACGTTAAACCATTTAAAAATTAAGCACTTTGGGAGTCCATTTAGTTTTTTGTAAGCTTGAGAATTATAACAGCATGTTCTCAATTGCCACTGCAATAATAATTGTAACAATGTCCATGTCTTATTTATAACAGTATTTTAAGAATTATTTTCACTAAGAGATTTACACACTCTAATAAAAGGTATCTCTCTACTGTAAAACTTGGAGTGGGCCAGACAACTGTGAACAACTAAATAGGGCTATTTTGCTTTTCCTGGGAACCGAAATGAAACTCACTCTGGGCTCTGCTAAGTTATCTTATCTTCACATTTTGGTTTAGTCTACATCCCTTTCACAACAGTAGTTCCAGCAGATAATGCTGTGTGCTAATTCCTCCAACATGTTGCTGTCACTGACCATTTTTTTGCTCCCTAGAATGCACTCAGCCTGATCTTGGCATTTTTTTGTGGCCCAAAGGTCACCAAACCACATCAAAGTGGCTTCTTTTGTCACACTCACTGGTATGCGTCCTCTTGATCTGAAAGATGCTACTCTCTTTAATTCTTCATCAGGAATGTTTACAGGCACAACAAGAGTGGCAGGGTATGTATCACATAGCTCGTAGCGCTCATTAATCTTGGTCAATCTCCAGCTTTCGTTGGGAATTCCCTAAAAAGGAAGCAACAGCAGGTTAGTAAACTCAAAACATCAGAACAGTAAAGTTGCTAGACCTGAAGTTAAAAGCAAAGGTTTTGTTTATGAAGGACATTTAGGGCTACAGGCAGACTGCATTATCTTGGCAACTTTTCCCCTCCCAGAGGGCCAGACATTTTGCAGAGGTGTCTGAGCAAAAGGACAATTACAAGACTCCAGGCAGGCTCATCCTTAGCGACTGAAGTGTGGAGGTTACAGAATCTGTAATACAAGGGGATCCCCTGGCAGCATCTCTGCTGTTTCCCATTCTCATCTCGGGGTTTACAAGAGAGCCAAGAGCTGGGCAGAATGGGGCTGACCTCCAGCACTCAGCTCCTGGCACCCGGCTCAAAGTTCCAGCGGGACGAGCAGCAGCTGAGAGTGGAAGGGGATGGACAGGAGACCAGGAGAGAGAACACACAGTAAAATACTCTAAAAATCAATGCCAAGGCACAGGAAGAAATTACTGGGTTGACTGTGAGGCACAGAAAGCAATTCCCATAAGGAATTGAAAAGGATTACCCAGAGTAGTCCTACAGCAAGCACTGCTTTACTCAGTGACATCTGGTATGGGAATATCCTGGAGGATACTTCTCTGTCTCGGGCCTGGTTGTACAGGACCTTGATTATAAAGCTGTGAAATCCCCTAAAAACACCAGAAACTTAATAGCTGTGTGGCTGAATGTGATCTGGACAGCAATATACAGTTCCTGTGCCCTCCCCCACTAGGGTGTCTGGTTGTACTAGTCTGGATCATGCTAGGAGAGCAGGGAATCTGTGCGTATCCATCCCTGAATTCAGCAAGCACCGAGCACCAAGTGACTCAACAGCCTCCTGTACAAGCATCTCCCAGCACCTGCCTGAAAAACAGGGAGGCAGGTCCTGGAAACGTGAAGGTTAGTTTGGCCATGGCTGGGAATAACAGATCAAAAGGACATGATTCCTACTGCCTGACTACAGGGAGAGATGTAAACATGTGCTGAAGCAAGGGTGAGCACCACCACAAAGAATCTCTGCGGAGAAGACGGATGTGCTGCAGTTCCTACATGCGGTGAAACAGTCAGACCTTTCAGCTGAAGGGTCTGTTTTAGATGAACCCCAGCTCTTAAAACAATATATACTTCTGTTCTAATAAACAGCACTTCATTCTAAGGAGGATGGTGGGATAGTGACTACCACCATCACGACTCCCAGGAGAAACAAACGACAAATCTAACGCAAGTGAGACATGCTGTGGTGACTATCGTTGACCCACACAAAGCACAGGCAGGTCCCCAGCACATCAGTCATGAGTCATGCAGGCAAGACAGGTCATCATCAGAAAGCTGAGGAGAAGTCAGGACTTTCTGTTTAGTATTGGTCACATCCAGCTTCTCAACCACTTCCTGCAATGGAGTCCTCTCTGGGAATGAATTGCTGTTTTTGCAAGGGATGAACAGAGCTGCCAGGGTCAGAGGCACCTGAAAGGAAGACTGTTGCTGAAACTGTGTGAGCCCAAGCTGGGCACCCCTCACAGCGGGCGGCTGCTCAGATGGTTCCAGGCTTCCTGCTGTACGTGGCAAGGACATGATCTCCTGGGTCCACTAGCTCTGCCAGCCAACCAGGGAACAGCAAGACTTCCTTTTGGCCACCTGCTTTTGTCACCTGTGATCAGGTTAGTTACTAGTTGGAAAAAAAAAAACATGGTGAATGCCCTAACTGCTCCCAAACTAACCCTAATAACTGTGTGACTGCCATGAGTCCATCAACAACGTTCACAGACTTCCTTCCAAGCTGAGTTTAAACTACACTGTTGGCATTCACATGACAGGGAACTGATAAGCAGGTATGTGGAAGAAAACTCATTTCCCTGCTACTCTGCAACTCAACCAATGTTCAGGGAAAGATTAAGCAGTCATTAGTACTGAAAAGGAGCTTTTCACAGCACTGGGTAGAACGGTTTTAACATACACTGCTTGGTCTAGAACTGACACCTCCACAACTTTCAGTCTTTCAGCCACCATGAAGATCAAATTTTTCCTCCACTGTGGACCCCACCAGGAAAACCACGTCAACCCTCCAAATAAAGGAAGGATGGTGGGTGCCAGTGGGGTTCTCCTTCCCCTTGCATCGGGATTGTCCTTTTTCCCTGAAATGGCAGCCTGATTCGCAGCACCCCAAGAGGCCTTGGGAATCAGTGTGGCTTTCTCCAGGGGCTGAAGCAAGAAGAGCTTGAAGCAAAGCAGGCTAGAAGAGTCCACCACAGAGTAGCTGGATATGTGTCCCCTAAGGACAGTTGTCATCATATGCTCACACTTGTTTCTTTACTCTCCTTCAAGCTTGCATGTTAGATTCAAGATAAAGCTGAATATAATATAAAGCTGCTAAGGAACTTGGCTGCCAACTTGCCGCGTAGGTGACCTGAGCACACGGCCCTGACCAGGGCCTGGGGCCTCTCCTGGTTAATTAATGCTGCTAATGGACTTGGCTTCAGGAGAGCTCGTACTTGGCTGCAGCCTGAGGACAAGACAAGGAAGGCAACATGGACACATCTCTGATAGTGAATTAAATGTGTCCATGCCTCTTCTCACCGACTGGCTGGCGCTGAGCACCTCATATCCGTACTGTTAAAATCTCTTATCCTCAAAAATGGGCAGTTCTCCCAAATTACCTCCTGGGGGGCCCCTTGGCTTGTGCCAGCCTCTGAACTATATCCAAGGGTAGTTTGGGAGAATGCTAGTTGGCTTTGCAACCCTCTCTCCCCCTTTTAAAAGCCCCTCTTTACTATTTTCTCCGCAGTGACTCAATTGCCTGTTCCAAGGCCTGGCTCTGACATGGCCCAGCTGCATAACCTTAGCTCAGACTGCCAAAGCTACGAGAAAGAGCTGCGAGAACGTCTACAGGAAGATAAGAAAAGTGAAATCACACACTGAAGACAAAGCTTGTTGAGATGGGGATCACTCGTAGCTCAAGGATTCACAGAATCACAGGATGGTTGAGGTTGGAAGGGACCTCTAGAGATCATCCAGTCCAACCCCCTGCTCCAGCAGGGACACCCAGAGCACGGGGCACAGGGTGGCATCCGGGCGGGTTTAAAAGATCTCCAGAGAAGGAGACTCCACAACCTCCCTGGGCAGCCTGTGCCAGGGCTCTGGCACCCTCACAGTGAAGAGGTTCTTCCTCACAGCCCCTTGTCCTGTCACTGGCCACCACTGAGAAGAGCTTGATCCCTTCCTCCCTACACTCACCGTTCAGGTATTTGTACATAAGATTTCAAGAAGGCAAATACCACCTTGAAAATGTATAAAATCCTGTAGGAAAAAAAAGAGCCTAATGGACAGCACTGTAACTCAGGTCACCTGTGTCTGGTGCTGGCTGTGCTGGGGGAAGATGGCAACAAAAACCCAGCGGAGGGGGGTGCAGAGGTTGACCCCTCTCCTTTGACTCGTGCCTGCCTGGCCAGCAAAGGCCCTTCAGGTACCTTTCTGAGGTGGGAAGACTAATAACTACATAGATCCCCACTATCTTTTCCTGGGGTGTTAGCCAGTAAATAGTTGGGCTATGCTTCCAATCGTGCATATTCGGTATGAGAGGCTCTCTGTGCATAGCTAGAGAGGCCCAAACAAACGTACTGAAAAGGGGCATGGTAACAGCTTGGCCCAGAAGGACCTCTCTTGTGGGGAGAGGCAGAACCGCTTGGCACTCAAAGGTCTGCCTAGAGGTGATGGAGCCCCTGTGCTTGGGAACACTCCTCAGCACTGTCTAATCCACCCACAGAGACACAGCCTCTGGGTGACCTCCATGCCCAGGAGAGATTGCTCTGGGTGAAGCCCCTCCACAGAGCAGGGCAGTGGCTGGAGCCCAGCTGCTGTCTCTCTCCTGCACTGCATGACGTGCTGAGCCCCAGCTGCTGTCACTGCTGCTAGCGGAGCCCTGCTTTAGTTTGAAGCAGGATCCCAATTAAACCATGTGGCATTTAACAACTCAATTCTTAATTTTTATCACCTAAATTGTATCTGGCATTTCTCAGTAGGGCTCTGTTCTTGTGCTCTACCTCTCCCACACCCTTGCCATACACTAGTCCTTGGCATTTCCAGCTCCTATTCAAGTATTGAGTTCTATGTTTTCCCTGAAAACCACATACTGTGGCCATACCCTGCTACTCCCTGGCGTATCTGACCAGATCATAGGATTTGATCAGGACTTTGGGGGGAAACACTGCACACTTCAAACTTCACAGCTCCTTGTAATGCTTTCCAACTGCTCCCCACCTTGTTTAGGAAAATGAAAGCTTTAAGTTACTGCAAAGGCATCTAAAGGCCTTTTGGTTTCAAATGAGTCTTATTCACTTTGCAAGTCTGTTTTATACTCTGCCAGTCCGCATGTAATAAAAATCAGGGAGCAATTTCAGTTTTAAATTTCATTTACCACATGTGATTTCACTTACTGACTAAATCCCAAACCTCTCTGAGCTCCTTTTGTTCTCTGCAGGTTGTTTATGACTCCCCACAGTTTTACACAATCGCAGATTTTTAATAAGTTACATATTTCCATCTTTCTCCAAAACACTAACAGAGAAGTCTGGCGTTTACTGAGTGCCTTTCTTAAATGCCACAACCTCCATCATATTATACTAATCTTAAAAAAGAGAGAAAATATTACAACATATCAGCTTAGATGGAGAACCCACCAAGGCCCTTAGGCGGAATGTCCCTTCTGGATGCTTGGTAGCTGGGGTAGCTTGGTAGCTCTGGCTTCCTGCTCCCACAGCGAAGTGACTGACTTGGCCTGAGAGGTACCAAATTAACACCTGACCACATTGCTGGGTTGCTTATGCCCCAGGCCAGCTCTTGTATATTGGTTTTTAAACCTATTCCAGAGATCCTGCAGATAGTGCATATGTTCCACTCTTCTGTTTCTGATCACAATTCATATAGTCAGAGACAGGTAATCCCATTATCTGATTCAATGATTCCAGTTTTCCTTTGCTCTTAACAAATCCCTGCTGCCAGCTCAGGACATAGTCCTGATTTATTTCAGTATTTGTTATTACTTTAACAGAACCTAGTTGGATTAAAAAAAGAAAAAAAAAAAGACATTTACACAGATAAATTGTACATCCATAGTTATAAATGCCAAAATTAAGCTAATAAACCCAAACATCTACAACTTCGGGAGAGGACAGAAAGCTTCATGCTACAGGACCTAAATCAAGTCTAACGAAAAGAACGAAATCCTCCTCCTGGCCAGATCACAAAATAAATGTCTAGTGCTGGGGAGTTTGCCTCTTCTTCAGCAGCTGGAATTGGTCACTTCTGGAGATAAGCTATTGGAAAAGACAGAATGTGAGACACGGGAAGTTCCACCTTCATGGGAGGAGGAACTTCTTCACTGTGAGGGTGCCAGAGCCCTGGAACAGGCTGCCCAGGGAGGCTGTGGAGTCTCCTTCTCTGGAGATCTCCCAAACCCGCCTGGCTGCCACCCTGTGCCCCGTGCTCTGGGTGTCCCTGCTGGAGCAGAGGGGTTGGACTGGATGATCTATAGAGGTCCCTTCCAACCTCAACCACCCTGTGATTCTGTGAGATCTGGAATGGGAATGACTGAAGTCCATCGTGGGTATAATTCAGATAGGCTGCATTTGCAAAAAAAAAAAAAAAAATTGTTTAGGAAACATTTTTGCGGTTATCAGTGTGAGCAGATGACTGGAGCTCTAGCACATTGACCTCAGTTGGGTTTCTTGACACAAAAGCAGCCACCCTAAGCTTTTTATGGCTACTCAAATATTAAACAAAAGCAGGTCATAGGAAAAGAAGCATGGGGTGCAGCAACGTCACGTACATAACGTGCTGCTTGTAACGTGCATCCCTGCCTGCAATCAGACACAGAGGCACCACGACGGGCAGGGCCTCTGTCCTGTACTGGAAGACCATGAAACCCAACGCATCACACACTTGTACAGCTACGGGTCCATGCAACAGGCAACTAAGGTCCCAAACAAAAGGTCACATGCACAGCCTCTATCCTAAAGAGAAATGCCAGGACTGAGAAGCTGGAAGAATCTACTTCCAAACTCTTGAGTGCCACCCTTCCTTCTTTCCAGGAATTGTAAGAATGTTTTTTTTGTACCTGCTCTGTTTTAACTGAAGCTTAGCTAAAGGGGAATATTTTGATATTAGAGGAATATTTTGATAGCAGAAAGGTCTGCAAAGGTCTCGGTCATCTAAAGAAATATCATTCCTCTACAGTTTGGGCTGCACATCCTTCCTTCTTTATAAGCAGAGATTAATTAAATGTCAAGATGCATGATTCTAAAGGAACCAATAATCACTGTGTTTTTTTGCCCCACCACTGAAGGTCAACCTCAGATATGATTTGTACTGTTGATTAGGAATAGCCAGTAGCCAGACTTCGTCCCTACCATGCTTTTAGAAGGCAGTATCTCATTGCAAAATATACACACCCTTGCAATGAAGACAACAGACGTAGGATTAATCTTACCTACATTTACCTACATGCAGCAGCCTAGAAGCCTGTGATCTTAGACAGCTATTTTAGGAGGGAACACTCACACCCAAAAGGGAATCTCTCTCTCTCACCGTCTGTTAATGACAAGCCTAGATAAGCAGTTAAGAATGCATGCCCAGCTTTGAGAAAGCTAACACTGCTAAAATGAATTCCCTAGCTTAGATTTTAGATGTCTGGAATCAGATGGGCATCTACATGAGGTCACAAGATTTCTTTTGTTCTGTTTTATGAAAGATCCAAATAAATCTTTAAATTACATGGCTGTAAATTTCTTAATTTTACAAAGGAAAATTGGTTTTATCCTAACAGATCTGCATGAAGCAAAAGTTTATTGTGGCCAGGGTATAACTGTCCCCAAATGGTGTTGTTTCCTCAAATTGAGACTTTTATGACAAAAGTCATCTCATTAAAAAAATAATAAAAAATTCCCTCTCTCCACTTCCCTCAGGAAGCTCAAGCTCAAGTTTTTATCCTAGTGTATCCCAATGCTCCTACATGTCAGCCTGCCACTTCATAGCCATTAACATCTTTGACCAGCCTAGTCTGGACACCCTCCATCTGCCTGTTCCAAGCTGCAGTTAACTAGAGCTCTCTTGGGGCTGATCCTCCAAATATTCCCCAGAAAAATGAAGGCATTCTACCTTCTCCCTACTCATTTTCTAGTTTAAAAAAAAATATTTTTTTTTCTTTTAAATGGAAAGACTCAAAACTGATACAAGAACTTAAATATGAAACTCAACAATGGGTTTGGAGTTATAATACCCTATATGTCACTGCCAGCACTGGCTGATGTCTAAGGAAAAGCAATAGTTGCTTCTCCCAAAGCCTCAGGTTAGCTGTAGCCTGAGTAATCTCCTACTAATGCATCAGTGGATGCTGCTGTATGCACACTCATACTGCTGCCATCAATCCCTGTAGCACAGAGAGAATGTCTGGAGTCAGACTGCAAGACATCCATCAGTGGCATCTGTCTCCCCTCCACGCAGTCTGTAATTACTGCAGCACAGGGCCTGCTTCTGAAGAGCAAAGAGGGTGACAAAGGATAGGGCACAGTACCTACCTGTCTTCTATACTCCCAAATGGGGTCGTAGACTTTCCATCCGTTTTCTGGGAAAACCTCTTTGTACTCAAATGCAAAAAGTGGCTGAAAGAAAGACAAATTATTATTGTTACAAGTGCTCAAAGCCAGTTTTTAGGACATTTGATATCTCAGGTAATAATTCATGACTGGTTACTTTTCTCTCCCTCTTCTGGACTATTTTTCTTCTAGGGTTTTGTGGAAAAAAAATCTTTTCCTTGCCCTGTCCATGCCAAAACATACCTTGCCCTGTTCCTGTTATCTTGCTTGCCTACTGCCTAGTGTTTCATTAACAAAAGAAACTTATTTTGAAAAAGGGAAAGAAAAGAATGCTTGGTCAAGAAGGCTTTCCCATATTAAGAACTAGATTCTTTCAACTGGGATTTGAAGTAACAATTGCAGAGAAAAAGAAAGAAAAACAAATAAAAGTAACCAAACAAGCTGTGTTTCAGAGCTGAGAGCAGCACAGTGAACATTAGCTGTTAACTGATGGAAATCATGGTGCTTTGAACATTCCCCTTCCATTACAGGGATGTGAGCATCAGTAAGTCATTTTCCATCCTCGACAGAATTCACAAACTTTCCCCGTTTTCTAGGCAATCTAAATTCCAATAGAAGTGATTTTAAGAGGGATTTAAAAGCCATCATTTCTTCTCCCTCAGGGAACACCACCTCATACAAATGGATGGCACTGAACAAAGCTGCTTATTGCCATTCTGCATGCTTTGGTATCATCAAAAAAGGACAAACGTACCAGATTATTTGACACTGGGAAAGCATATTTCATTAAGTTCTCAAATATGGATCGTCTAGTCCTCCCCTCAGGCTTATGAGCAAATCGCAAGTTTCGAATATCCTGAAAGAGGAAAGGCAAGTCACAAGACACATCTTAGCCACTTCAACACACATAAGAGCTCCCCAAAGCCATCATTTGAGATAGAGTCCCACCACGAGGCTCTCTCCAGCACTGATTTATATCCTACTTGGAGCAGAGCTGCCTGCAGCTCTGGGCTTGGCTCAGCGGCCAGCAGCAGCCTCCAAAGTTTGCCATGAGCTGCAGGAGTGGAGGGCGTGTGTGGAAGGGCCTGAGCGGCAGCACCTGGACTTTGCTGGAGGCTTCCTACCTGCCACCAGGTCAGAGAGAGGCCTGGCTGGAGCACAAGGTCTCTCTGACGAGCAGGGCTTTGCGAGGCTGCTGCTGCAGCTCTTGCAGGGCACGGGGGCTGAGCCCTGGCTCACGCTCATCACAGCCACAGGCAGCCCAAGCGCCCCAGGCCACGGCAGAGCAACCAGGGCCACGTCCCTTCAAACCCCCCTCTCCTTCTCAGAGCACTAGGCAGAAGATCTGAAACGCAGAACCCCTTCCCTCTGCACAGCAGCAGCTTCCGCCAAGGGAGGTAACCCAAGCCCTCTCTCCTGTTCTCATCTACAAAATCAAAATCAGAAATGAAATAAAGCCAAGATTTAGGATGCCAAGATTTTCCAGGCAAAGGCAAAATGCAAACGCTTGTAATAAACAGTTCAAAAGCCACCAGCAGGAAATAAACTATCAAGTTCAAGCATATGAAGATCATACAGTAAGTCAGAGAATGAGACAGACAGCAAAGGACTTCACTGTCTTACATTATTTAGATTAGGTAATTGCTTTCAGACAGAGCAAATCTCAGGATGCATAAGCTAGATCTGTACTGCTCTGCTGGTGATACGAAGGACCCCATCTCCTGGGCTGAGTGTCCTCGTCTGGCGTGTGCAGGGCCAGGAGATCTGTCCTCTGTTCTGTGCCTGGGTTTCCTCCCAGGGGAGCCAGGGGATTCACTCCGGAGCAGCCTTGGGGGTGGGAATCTGCAGCTTCAGGCAGCCGGAGACTTGCCATGGTCAGAATTCACCTCTCCCCACGCTGCCACTGAGGAGAGCAGGCGGGACACACAGCTGGGGATGGTGGGCTTATTCACTTTGTGGGCCCAAGATCACCAGGCACATAGAGGTGATAACCAAGTTTTATTAAAACGTGCCTTTTTAGTGATTCTGTGAGCTACTGAGAAGCAGACCTGAATGTGCACTGCCTTGAAAGGTAAGAATGGCCGGGAGAGGGGCAGAAGGTTATTGGCAAGTCCCTCACGAAAACACAACAACAACTTTGGGTAAAACTTGCCCTCTTCCTGCTCTTCAAGTGCAGGTCAGTGAAACCCATCCTCTGCTCCACAAAGACAGGAGTCTTACTGGGAGATCCTGATGGGCAACACAGGAAACCCGGACCTGAAATACTGGGATACACTCCTAGGTTTCTACTATGAAGAAACAATGATCTTACGTAGCATAAAACCTGAATAAAGGTTTGGGTCTCATCCCTAATTAGTCGACTTGGAGGACCCTTGAAAGGACTTTTAAAATAAGACATTTTTGAAATGTGTGAAGCCATCCTGACTGCAAACTCTTTGCAGAACTTCCCTTAACATTACAGAGACAACCTTTTAGAATAGACTTTCTCTCTTCCTCTACTTTAAAACACAACAATTACCTTGCATACAATCTCCAACCCGTAGGAATTCTCCCCACGACTGGAAGCGCCTCCGATTTTCTCCACTCTGTTGATTACACCTAAAGATGCATCTAGGACAAAAGGAGGGTCCTGTAGACAGTTGAAATTTGTGAGTTTAATAAGGGAGGGATAAAAAAAACAAACCCAGACACTGTTCCCTTACACCCATATTCCCAAACATATAGACACGACACACATAGAATTATACTAAAAAAAAAAAGGCCCTAGGCTAAAGAGCGAAAAGACACATTTTATATCAAGTAGCCAATAAAAGCAGATGGTTTCCAAAGCTTACCCGTTCCATGCTTTTAAAATACAGCCTATAATTGGTAACAGTAAGAGTTCCTCTGATTGCGCCAGTGAACGGGCAGATATAAGTAACATCCTTAGCTTTAGAACATAAAGAGGGAGAGAGAGAGAGAAAAAAAAAAAAAAAAGGTCAGTTTCTGGTTAACATATGAAAGCAAAATTCTGACAGTAGCAACCTTAAGGGCTCTACTTTTCAGCCCCTGAAATGAAAACAAGCTTATTCTGGGACTATTATTATTATTATTCTTGTCTGGAGCTAACGTGCAAGTTCCACTCCTGTTAAGAGGAGGAGACTGCTGGTGTTAATCAAACGCCAGACAAGCTCCTCACCTGGACCCTGCACACAGGCCCTGCGTGGCTGCAGCCTGTGGACCAGCAGTGGACAGTGCATTCCCCCTGGATGAGGACACGCTGCACATGGACAGGACACAATTCCTACCCTGAATGCATACATTGGAAGCTGGATAACAGTCTGCCCAAAAAAATGCTATATTCCCCCACAACAATCTATTTTGTGCCATAAAGAACGAGAGAAATCCGTTCTGCTGCAAATGACTTCTAACAAACTTGGGTCCTTCTGTGCGCCCAAAAATTCAGCATCAGCCCCAGGATGGAGGCTCTGCAGGCTGAAGGCCCTAATTGAAGCCAGTGGAGCTACAGCAATTTACAGCAGCCAAAAATCTGTATAGCACCCAATTGCCAGTGATTTTAAGTCTTAAGTCAGCGATCAAGTTTCCCTGCAACAATTCAATTCCTTCTGAACCTGAGTGACGGTGACTCAAAACAGTCCCCTTTTTAAAATGCCTCCAACGTTTCTCACTTGTTCCAGCAAAAGGCAAGAGGTGCTGCTGGTTTTCCACAGCAAACACCTCCCCTAACTGCCCTTCTGCTTTCCCACCCGTGACCCAGCGCATTTTCTGTCACTCAAACCAGCTGGCTGCTTGTGCTGCAGTTTATGCTGCTGCTAAACAGGAGCCGTACTCCTCAGGCACACACAAAGCCTGTCAGAAGGAGGCTCGAGCTGCCAGATCCATGAAATTTGAAAGACAAAATAAAACCACAAGCCCATCCTAATAATGTTAGGGTCCTAATGGACACGTTTTGCATGGGCTGTGCGAGATCGGTGAGGAAGCTCTCATGTCCAACAGGCCACAGCCACCACGGGCAGGAGCCCTTGGACGGGGGTGTCATGCCAGGCACTCCAGTTTCTGCACCCGTTTTCTGTGTGATTTACCAGGGAAGAGGGGAAGACAGAGGCTGCCTTCCTCAGGGCCACCTCATGCACCTGAATCATCCTTGCATCAGCTCTGCTTCCACGGAGCTGTCTCTGACTCACCACAAGTGGACGTGCAGAGGATCCTTAGAAATCAAAGCAGGTGGGCAGAGGAGGCCTGGGGTGCAGCATTGACCTGGTACCCCCAGAGCCCCGACGAGGATGTTCCAAGGAAAAGCGATGAGGGATGACTCATATGGAGCCAAACAAACAGCATGGTGTTTTGGGCTAAAATACACATACTGGCAATCTCATTTGTTTATTTATCCCTTGTAAGAGAAATGCATTTGTTGGAAGGTCAATTAAAGTATTTCATTGTTAGCTGACCATCCACCAACATTTTTCAACGAGCAGGCTGACCCAGGAGGACAGGCTCCTGAGCAGGGCACACGGAGCAGAGCAGCCTGCTCGGCTTTTCCACCGTGCTCCCACTGCTCAAAACCTAAGCCTGAAAAAATGTTGTAAAAAATAAAGCAAAATCTATTGATATGAAAAGAGCGTGCATACACATTTGAAAGGGAACAACAATTGTAAGTCAAAGGGGAAGATGTTTGAAAAATATTTTCCAGGTAAGGAATCCTAGGCATTATCTCAGATACCAGTTTGGGCAGTTTAAAAGCTCTACCCCTCTCCGGGCTTGCATTTTATTAGCCTGTTCTCCTAAGGAAACAATTTAAGTTAACCACACTGCATGGGTACACATATGGATACGTGTCTGTTTGCCTGACCTTAACCCTACCCTTGCTATAGGATTGCAGGAGTCTCTGTCCAATGGATAGGGATCTCCAAGGTATTAAATTCCTCCCCTCTTGGTGAAAATGGATACCAACAGAGAGGCTGTAGTGCTGCTACCAAGGGAAGGGCTGATAACCTCAGGTTTTGTTAGATATAAGAGAATCCATATGGGAGGGAGATACTAGAAACCAGGATTTATAAATATCACTTCTCATGGATTTTGTTTTCAACAGGGCCAGTCTTACCTCATATCTTAACGTTAACTGAAATAATTTTCTTCCCTTCCTGATAAAATACAACGAGAATTACACTCAACCTTCCTGCCACTTTTAACGGGATAAAATATTGTTGAGGAACAATATTGCCTTCTTGCTACCTTAGTTTCTTGTTGGACTTGATGGCTGCTGCCTGGTCTGCTCTTTAAGCCACCTGCTTTTATGGATGTAGATGGTTCATTGTATCATTTGCAAAGAGATAGAAATACTGGAGACCCTGTTCTCTTAAACCATTCCCCGGAACCCTCCAATACCCTGGTCTTGCTCTCAGGGCTTTCAGGACTCACAGGATGAATTACTTGTCAGTCTGCACTGCATGTGCTTGCTTGGAGTGAGAGTTTAGAGTCTTTAGGAAAGGGGTAGAGAGAAGAAATAAAATTGTTTCCTTTTAGGACCAAAGATGTTTTCTTCATTTTAAGAGGGAGGGAACACGATAAAGTAGAATGCCAACACTGCTAAACTAGTGAACACAAAATCTCTTACAGAAAATAAATCAAGAGGCTTACTCAAACTTTCAGACAGTAGGGAGCATCAGCAAAGCTGCTGCATGTCACACAGGGAGAAAAACACAGTGAGAAAAAAAGGGGGGGCAAAATACCTCCCCCCTGAACACTAACACTGAAACTGCAATAGCAGTGCAACGTTCCTGCAGCCTTTGGTAGAGATTCCACACGAGATTATGTTATGTCAGCCTGAGAAGTCGCTGTGCGGTGAGCGCACCTTGAAGCAACCCAGCTGTGAGCTCCCAGGACCCACACCAACGCAGCGCAGCACAAACTGCCTCCCCCTCTCATCCCCGGTGAGAGGTCACTAACATGTGCTGAGCTGCTTTGCACTCGCTCCCCGCTGCGGGCACATCCACAGTTCCCTTGGCTCGCAGCACTCGTAACGACCTGATTAAGGAATCAGCCCGACCACGGGCCTCCGAACACCAGCAATGTGCTGTTGCTGGGGAATGAGCACCAAAATATTTTGCTCTGTGGAGATTCTCTTTGGTCAGCAAGCAATAAGGGATATACTTTTCACATACCCATGTCTTTAATGGTTTCTCCTGGTAGCAAAGGTGGCTCCTCCATTTCGGCTAATTTATTAGACTCCCTCAGGACCTAGATGAAAGACAAAGTGGACAAGGAAATTCACTATGTGTCTATAAACCAAGACATTTACACTGTCCTGCAATGGGTCAACAATATAAAGGACAACAAATATTCAAAGGTCTTAAGACACATCCTGCTGTTTCAGCCTTGAAAAGGCCCTTGCACATCATGGGCAACACCTCAGTGCAGCCTTGCAGCCCACACAGAAGTGCTTCAGTGAGGGTCTCTGATGGGGAAACCAGTCACAGCAGCTCTGTGCTTTGGCAGCCCCCTTACCAGGTGGCTCCAACTTTCTCCAGCCCAACCTACACCTCATCACCACAAGCCAAACTCTTGGTCCACACAGCTACAGTCAGAACCAAAGGAACTGGTAAACTAGTAATAAATTTGCTTTGAGAATTTCTTTTTGACAGCCAACAGCATCTCCTCCTTTCCCCCAAAACTATCTTCCCTCCTGCAGCTGCTCCCTGGTGTCCTCACTGAGACCTCTGGCCTGTGCCAGCAAAAAAACCCTTTTTGTGCATCTGTTACTGTGAGCAGAATGAGGGAACCAGCCTGGTAGAAAAACAACCCTACCAAAAATATATACATATGCCTATAAACTGTTCAGCCAAATCATTTCCCCAGTCCAGTTCAACGGTGCCAGGGAGAACACAATAACACAAGATCAGGAACTCCGCTTCTTAGCTGGTGTTCCAGCTAAAATGAATATCAAAGTGCAGCCTAAAAGTTTGTCTTCACTTCAAGGGCTAGCTGGCATAACTAATTAAGGCAAAGCAACTAACCCCATCATCTACTGGACACAGGCACACTGGTGAAGTTTATTTTACTTGGGCTGAAGTTATACTTACAGAATATCATTTTACAGAACTTTCTTCATCCATGGATGGGATTTGCTACAGCTAGCAGCACAAGGAAGCATCCATTTGAGCAAGGCATGGCCTTAACTACGGAAGTTTTCCCTGGGGTCTATATCTATGGGAGGAACTAGGGAAGAAGAGCATATGAATGCAGCCCAGATGAAGGTTGGTCTGCGTGGCCAGATGCAGCCATATGTGAATCATCCTGCCCGTGCCCTCAACCTGCCAATGGCACCAGAGCATTAGCATGACAACTGCTCAGCCTAACAACATGGGCAGAGGCAGTGGGCAAGTCAGGCCGGGCTCTGAAGCAACCTCAAGACTTGGGGTTCAGAGTTGACCTGCAACCTGCCTGCTGGAGATGGACAGGGACAAACCCCACAGCTAAACATGCAGACTTGCCCCAATCACTTTCTTTATCTTAAGGGGAGGAAAGAGAAAAAAACTGCTTTCATTTGAGATCAGGAAATCCCTGCAAAGAAAATTCAAAAACACGGCCCCAATTGGCACCCCAGCACCTGACACATCTGTGGTCAACTTTCATGTAGGAGCAAGCCAGAGGGGGAGCCTCAGGAAAGAAAACTCCTCTCAACTCTGTAAAAAGGAAAACAACCCCCAAAGAAAACCCCACACCACAATAAAAGCATGTCCCAGCATTTTCACCCAACAGATTGATGAAAAGATGAAAAGATTAACAAGATCAAAGTCTTCTTGGGAACACGATGTACACTGAGAAAAATGCATTCAAATAAGTCTTTGAATAAAAAAAAAAAAAAAAAAAGAAGGGGGCAGAAAAAAATAAAAGCAAGCACAGTCCTGACTTCCTAAGAGGAACCTCACAACTGCAAAAATAGAGGAATGTGACTGCGGAGGCTGGGTCTCAATGGGGAGGCTGCAGCTGGGCTGGTATGGGATTGGGATCGCAGAATCACAGGATGGTTGAGGTTGGAAGGGACCTCTAGAGATCATCGATCATCACCCCACTGCTCCAGCAGGGACACCCAGGGCACGGGTAGCAGCCAGGCGGGTTTGGGAGATCTCCAGAGGAGACTCCACAACCTCCCTGGGCAGCCTGTTCCATGGCTCGTCACCCTCACAGGAAAGAAGTTCTTCCTCACCTGGAGATGGAACTGCCTGTGTTTCCTGTAAAGAGAGGGGTAAAGAGAGCTCAGCACAGAAAGTGCGCCCCGGGCAAGGCTGCATTTGCAGCACAGCTTCTCCCACCGGCAGCGCCCGCAGGATGGAGGCTGGGCTGGTGGGCAGGGGACGTGTGTGAGCACAGCTGGGCTGGCCCAACATCACACACCTCATCAAAGGCCCCACAGCAGCCGCGCCGGCAACACGGCCGCGGGACAGACCCGCTCCCAATTTCTGTGTGTCAGTTTTCGCGCTTGGAAAACTGGATTGCAGTCAACAGGACAACATCTGGATGATGCCAAATGAGACAGAAGCTTTTGGATAATTAGCCCTTACAGTGGCTGTCATCGTTGCTGCCTTTTATCTTGGAAGGACATTAGGAAAAAATACACTGCTTGCACAGGACGCGATCCACAACTTGGAAGGAAGATCCCTGCCCCAAACAGGCAGCAGCTGCTGCTGCGAAGGCCTTGGCCAAGAGCCGGCCTTGCTGCTCCGCTGCAGATGTCAGAGCAGCAGAGCCAGGGATAAACATTTGCAGGATGAGGCTGCATCCTAAGCCAAAGCATGCACAAGGTAAGCACATATAGAGAGCGTCTGATCCGATAAACAGCCAATGTGATAGATAGGTGGGGAGAGCTGGGGAGGCTTTAAACACCACACTGAAGGTTGGGGGGGAGAGAGGGAGCAAGAGTGCAAGCAGCACGGAAAGGCAAAGAAGATCCCCGTGTCAGCACTAATCCATTAAAGATAGGGTTGAAAGCCTTTTCTGTTTAAAACCTGGCTCTTCTAAGTCTAATAGAATCCATGTGCTTGCTCACTCTCTTTGAAATGTGGAGTCCCCAGGGCCAGAGGAAAGGGTTAGTGCTGGAACCCACGCTCCTGCGAGCGCAGGGCAGGGCAGGCACGGCTTCCCGGAAACCCCCAAGGCCGCCCGTTTTCCTGCTCTTTGCAGAGTTGAGGATGAAACCGTCATGTTGACCATGCCCCAGCTGACCTCAGCCACTCGGCCTAGCTCAGCTAGCGCAGCCCAGCCGGCCCTCCTGGCCGTTTAATGATGGTATCAAAGTCAGTGTCTGTACATGACCCTGCACACTATTCGCTCCTCCAAAGAGGCTGCGACAGGCATGGTCAGAGAGCCCAGCTAAAACGTTTCCTTGGTGGGCCAGTCTCGGCAACCCCTGGCTAACTTGGTGCCTTGAAGTAGCCTCCTGGTTCATCTGAAATCTGCCCTGGCAGAAATCTGAAAGCGAATGGTTGCCGTTTTCCTAAAATCCCCCTCCATCAATGGCTCCTTAAAATTCATCCATGGAGAAAAGCAGACTGCACCTTGCTGACAAGGCAGAAAGCTCACGTCGCTTTGGGAAAAAAAGTGAGTAAACTGTGTGTAGAACTGCTTGCTGGGAAGGGCAGGTGGAGGAGGGAGCAGACGCCTGGGACCAGGGTGCGGGAGGGCAGAGCAGTGGAGGTGAGGAAAGAGAGCAGCTCTGGAAGCAGATCAAGGGGAAAGGATGGGAGTGGATTCAAAGCATCCCCTCTGCCCCTTGCGTGACCAATGAATCCCAGCGGATGGAGAGCTCCCCACCCCCAAGTGGTTCATTAAACTGCTGGAAAAATCTTTCTGTACATTAGCCTATTTTCAAGATGCTTAAAACAACACTCCTGAGACCCTGCAGACTTCACAGACCCTACAGATTTAGCCCCCTGCACATCTTGCAGTACAAACCTAAAGGCTACAAAGGAGCGAAGAAGCAGGAAGGGGCTCCGGGCCACCGGGGCTGGCGGAGGGGCCGGGGCCTTGGTGGCAGAGCAGCCGTGGCTCCCACACAGCGACAGCTCCTGAGGCAGCTGTAGCCATGGCAGAGGTGCCAGAGCGAGGCGCCTCGGCCCTCGGCGCCTCGGGTGCCGCAGCTCCTCAGGGGCAGTGAGGAGGGCCCCGCGCTTCGCTGTTGGCACGGCCTCGAGATCACGCAGGGAGGGAGGTGACTCCTCCTTTGTACACACATTTGGGATCAGGGAAAGAGGTTCAGCTCCCGCTACCGAGGGAGGGCCCCTCTCAGTCTCATCCCCTACCTCTTCCCATCAGATCCCAAGGCCCGGCACTCCTACCAGGCCCCCACGTTGCCTCCTCACACAACAGCCCACATCGTGCTCCAAGGAAACCTGCCCCGGTTCCTATTCCTGCGCAGCGCTCACCCATGGCCAGGCCTGGTCTGGACCCTCTATATTCTCTATATTAAGGGTTTTCCTGCGAACAAACCACATGTATTTCCCTCTTGCATGTTCCGAGGGGCTTTACCCACCGGCTGCGCTGCCGGGAGGACAACGCGCTCCCTGCGCTGGCCGAGGCTGAGCCGGGACAACCTCCTCCGACCGCATCTGCCAGCCTAACTGCTCAGGTAGCTGCTCCCGGACCTTCAGCCTTAGTGCCTTTTATAGGTGTATTTTTCCTGGATTATTTTGACAGGACTGGTTTAAGTGGTGAGCAGTCCATCCAGCAGACCGGGAGAGGTGCAACCTCGCAGCGAGGAGTAAAAGCAGCAGGGACTGACGAGGGACTTTGGCCACGGACACCCATGTCTGTAACAAACCAATGGTCTCCGACAGAGGTGCACCAGCAGAGCAGCCAAGATCTCCCCAGGCCATGTCCCACTTAGCCTCTTCTTTTGCCTGAAAACTGGAGTCCTGATGCCCAACACTGACAAAGTTGGTCTTCTGGCTTCATGCAGTTCAAGGAGAGACTACAGGTTTATTCCCAATCCTGAACAGATTCTTCTGAATCACAATCAGAATTAAACATGAAAGATTATTTTTTGTTTTATAAATAAATAAATAAAGGATGTTTTCCTGTTTTCCTCTCCCTCTCAGCAACCCTCTCCTTGGTAACCCCCTACACAATTCTGATGATTTTGTACATTTTGAATAATTTGCTATGCATAAACATACAGTCCTTATGCAACACGTCCATCCCCACACTGTCCACCGTACTCCTTTTCCCCAAACCACTGTATA